CACACACACACACACACACACACACACACACTGAGGGGCCAGATTATTATGACCACCTGACGTTTATAGGCAAATTAGCTATAATTTCGCACTGAAGTTGCTAGAGGACAAGACCATTATAAATAGGGAAGCAGGTTGTTTACCATAACAGTAGAAGTGACTTTTTTCTGAAGATATGGGTAAACAATGCGATTTAACAGCCTTCGAACGTGGGAGATACACACACACACACACACACACACACACACACACACACTGAGTGGCCAGATTATTATGATCACTCCATCAGTACTTTGTTGGGCCACCTTTTGCCTTCAATACTGTGGCGATTCTTCTTGGCATTGACTCCACGAGATGTTGAAAGGTGATGCGAGGAATCTGACACCATGCCTGATGAATAGCACTGTCCAGTTCTGAGAGATTTGATGGTTGTGGAACCAGCTGCCTGATGGCTCTTTTAACTTCGTCCCACAAATGCTCAATTGGATTGAGATCTGGTGATGGTGGGGGCCACCTAAGCAAGGTAAAGTCTCCCTCATGTTCTTGAAACCACTCCTGCACAATATGAGCACCACATGACTTTGTTCCAATGCTCGACTGTCCAATCCTTGTGTTCCTGTGCGAATTGGAGATGTTTTATCTTGGTAACTGCAGACAGCAAAGGTGTTCGAACCAGCCTTTGGCTTCCATATCCCATATGATGCAGTGTATGGCTAATTTGCCTACAACAGGTGGTCATAATAATCTGGCCACTCACGGTCAAATGTATCCCACGTTCAAAGGCTGTTAAATCATGTTGTTTACCCATATCTTCAGAAAAAAATCACTTCTACTGTCGTGTTAAGCAACCTGCTTCCCTATTTATAATGGTCTGGCCCTCTAGCAACTTCAGCGCGAATTTATAGCTATTTTTCCTACAAACATCAGGTGGTCATTATATATATGTATATATATATATATATATATATATATAGAGAGAGAGAGAGAGAGAGAGAGAGAGAGAGAGCGAGCGCCAGGTCCTGTGAGAGGTGCTGGGGCCATAGGGAAGAGCAATGCAGACAGAGCCCTCTCCATGTGCAATTTGCTGAAAACAAGAATTCAGAAACTAATTACAGATGATGAATCAAACAGTTTCAAATACACAAAGTTTGTGAAAAGACATAAGATACTACTGGAATGAGATTAGGATACCAATCATAGACTGCATCAAAGGAGGCTCTTGAGGAAGTGAGGCCCGAGCTGGGTCTGCAGGATGAAGACTGTTCAAGCACCTGGCTGCAAACATGTCCTTTCTAGGCCGAGGGATGGGAGAGAACATGGAATGGAGACAAGACATGCTGCACTTCAGGAGCAAAGGTGGGCAAGGAGAGAGTAGGACACGAGGCTGGTGAGTTTCCCAGGGCCCCATCAGGAAAGGCCTTGCATTTCATATTGAGTTTAATACTAGTATTTTAAGCACACTAATCATGTGATTGCATTTACATTTTTGACAGATAACTCTTGTCACCCTTGCAGTATGGGTAAGATTTTGTGAAGGAGAGAGAATGGTGGCATAGGTAAACACTGATACTCACTGCCTCCCACCACCACATCAAAATTACAAGTAAAATACAGAAAAACCATCTTTCAGAACTGCCAGAAATCTGGCTGAATGGAAGACCTACAACTAGAGAAGTAAACAAGAAAGTACATTGAGACTGGTAGGAGGGGAAGAAGCGTGGAACAGGCTGGTCTGACACCCACATATGGCGTTTTTTAATCTCAGCTGCAGAGGCCTCCTTTGAGGAGCAAGAAGTCCCAGCTGCACACCAGACCCTGCACCCCAGGATTCCAGAGCTGAGAAGAGAAGTCCCCATAACTTCGGGTATAAAAACCAGTGGGGACTGTGACTGAATGGCACAGAGGCTGCTGGAGACCCAGGCAGTGCCTCTTAAAGAGCCAGTGCACAGACTTACAAGATCCTGCTTACTCTGAGCTCCAGTGCTGGGTGGCAGCTTTGGGTGATCCAGGGACATATAGGGAGGAATGGGATTGTCTGGCATTGGGGCAGAAACTTGGGGACAACTTTCTCCCAGACACGGGTGCTCATGGGGTCATTGTTCCTGTATGGGGACCTCCC